GCAAAACCCTGTCATGATAAACCCCATATTGAGTTATAATCAAAATCAAATCTCCATAACCGCTTAAATCTCCTTTAGCAGATGTGGTACCGATCGGCCTCCTTCATCCGCGACAGTCAGCTGCAGCGGCGGCCGGAGGACGCCGTAACTATTCCCGGAGGGGGGCCTCCCGCCGCGGCCGCCGGCGCTGCTAACCCTAGTAACATCTCGATGTACTACCAGACTCGAGCGGCACAGCACGGCGTCGTCACGAGCGACTGGCTGGATCAGGCGCGGGCCGCCGCGGCCTCGGAGGTCGATGGCGTTCCGAGCGGCGATGACGGGGACAAGGGTTTCAGCGTGGTGGATGAGTTTAACAGGTGGCGTGCGCGGCCGGAGATTGCGGAAGCGGTGGCGGCGATCAGGGCTCTGGCTACGGTCATCCGGTCGAGTCAAGCTACCACGATGATGGAGCTACAGATTGAGCTTAAGAAGGCCTCCGATTCGCTCAAAGTAGGGGAAGTAGGGGAACATGTTTATTTTTATGTATTTATTTATTTACTTTTTTGCTTTTTGGAGCAGTTGAATTTTAATGTGCCTGAGATTAATGGATCATTCACTCGTCAATAGTGAAAATGAAAAACAAGACAATCTTATACTTTTGATATAGTGAAGATGAAAAATTATTTTCTTGAAAAAATAAAATCCTGGGAGTCTGTGGTGAGGATCTTGTTGTGTAAAAAGTTGTTCTTTGAATGAAAAAAAAAATAGATGACGATGATGGTGGTGGTGATGAAATAACTCCATATGTGAATCAATCAATCAATCAAGAGTGTGATATGAATGTGTTGAAATTATTATGCAGTCATGGGATAGGACTTCCATCTCTCTAACAGCTGGTTGTGACCTCTTCATGCGCTATGTGAAAAAAACCTCGGCTTTCGAAGATGAAGACTTCAATTCTACAAAGTCTTGGCTTCTCGAGCGTGCTGAGAAGTTTGGCAATATTTCATATAAGGTGTTAATTTGCGGTGTTGCTCTCCACTAATCTGTGTGGTTCGAAACTAGAAACAATCTTGATAAGCTTTGATAAGCTTTAAAAATTTCTCTGTCTCAGGCTCGCAGAAAAATTGCCAAGCTCAGTCAAGATTTCATTTTCGATGGTTGTACCATATTGGTGCATGGCTTCTCTAGAGTGGTGCTTGAGGTTTTGAGAATGGCGGCAAAGAGTAAAAAATTATTTCGAGTTTTCTGTACAGGTTTGTAAGTAACGGTGATATTAATGTGTATCAACTTCAGCTTTTTCTGATTACACAACTGAGAAAAATGAAATCAACTTCAAATCCTTGTAAATTCGACCCAACTATCTCACCCAAAATATTTGATTCTTTACTGTCCTAAAGTCATCCTTTTGGTTTTTCTGTTATATTAACTGAAAACTAGTAACATTTCCAAGATAAAAAAAAAAAATGAGAATCTTGGTTCTATCTTATTCAATATCCTTTTTTACTGTCTGGCCTCTTTTCAACACATTAACTTGTCCACTTCTGTTCGTATTTTTAGCATGATCAAGTTTCAGTTATGTATTATATATTGACATTCCCTCTTTTGTATTGAAACTTTTACTCGATTTAAACAAAAAGCTATATACTTGTACGACTCTTAAATGCAGAGGGAAGGCCAGAAGGGACAGGATCACTGCTATCCAATGAGCTAGCTAAGATTTTCTGTTATGTTAACTGAAACCTAGTAATGTTTCCAAGAAAACAAATGAGAATCTTGGTTCTATCTTTATTCATTATCTTTTTTTACTGTCACACCTCTTTCCAAGACGTTAACTTGTCCATTTCTATTCAATTTAAACTAGAAGATAGATACTTATACGACTCTTAAATGCAGAGGGAAGGCCAGAAAGGACAGGATTACTGTTATCCAATGAGCTAGCTAAGATTGATGTTCCTGTTAAGCTCTTAATAGACTCTGCTGCAGCATACAATATGGATGAAATAGACATGGTGCTCGTGGGGGCCGATGGTGTGGTTGAGAATGGTGGCATAATAAATATGATGGGAACCTATCAAATTGCACTGATTGCCAAAAGCACGAACAAGCCGGTTTATGTTGCTGCCGAGAGTTACAAGGTAACTTAAATGAATAACGATTAATCTTTTATTCCTGATGGTTATTGGCGGTTAAATAAAAGGTAGTCTTGTTCAAAATGTGATGCTTTATAATCTAATGAGAATCTAAAATGTCATGTTTTGCTTCTCGTTTTAATTTCACAATTAAGTGTCACTTGTGGATGGTGGTCACTTATTCATTTGGTATTATTATGATAACCTATTCGGCCTTTTGCTTTTATTTTCAAATACTATTTACCAAAAAATGCTGCAAAAAAAAAAGAAAAAAGAAAAAAAAAGAAATCTCTTCCTGCACTAATGCAACTATTGATTCTGGAGGGACAAACTCTGCTTAGCTTTTAAAAATTAAGACTAAGTTCGCAAAAAATGGGAATAGAAAACCCTCAGGATCTCGATCTTAATTGGGTGGAACAAGTGCAATTATCACTACTTTTTTACTTTCGCCCAACTAATCACGCCTTCTAAAAAGGTAACTCAAATGAATAACGATTAATCTTTTATGGCTGATGGTTGTTGCCTGTTAAATAAAAGGCAGTCTTTTCAAAATGCTCTGCTTCACAATCTAGTGAGAATCTAATGTCATGTTCTGCTTCTCGTTTTTTATTTTTTTATTCCTGCACTAATGAACAATTGATTCTCGAGAGACAAATTCTGCTTAGCTTTTTAGTATTAAGACTAAGTTCGCAAATCATGGGATAAAAAAAGTAAAAACCCTCATGATCTCGATCTTAATTGGGTGGAACTGAAAGTGAAAGTGCAATTATCACTACGTTTTTTTACATTTGCCAAACGAATCACCCCTTCTAAAAAGGCTAATGCTTTTTGTTGGGGTCTTATAATTTCTGCTGACCGTGAGGTTATGATGTTATTACAGTTTGCTCGTCTTTATCCATTGGATCAAAAAGACATGGTACCCGCCTTGCGTCCCATCGATTTTGGGGTCCCGATTCCTTCAGGGGTCGAGGTTGAAACATCTGCTCGGGATTACACGCCCCCACAGTTTATTACCTTGCTTTTTACTGATTTAGGCGTTTTAACGCCATCGGTAGTGAGTGACGAGCTCATCCACCTATATGACAAGTGCTTGGTTTAATTTTTTTTTTCCTCCCAGTATATAAAAAATGGAAACACTGATTGGACCAGGTTTAATTTTTGCACAGTTTTAGGTGGGTTTGCTAGCAGGTATGCATGCTGAAGTTTTGCTTATTACTAAAACAATACATGTTGAAAATTTTTTGATGACTGAATTTCTAATGTTCAAACATTGTTCGTGTTCATTCATGTAATATTCGAACTAAAATTTGTGATCGATTGTCAATGTTCCTGCCCATGCTCGTTTATGTTCAAACATTGTTTCATGTTCGCTCATGCAATATTCGAACTAAAATTCTGTTCGATTGCCTAAGTATGAGCTCGTTGGTGTTTGACAAAATTAGTAAACAAGATAGTTGAAGTTGTTCGATTAACTCGAGTTTGACTTGTTCGAAATCGTTCAAGCCCGATAATTGAAACATTATATATTTTTTGATATTATACATATATAACAAACATTCCAAATTACTATTCACCAATATTCCAAATCGTTCGTAAATATGCTCACTTTCGATTTACAAGTGAGTTTAAATTTCCGTTCGAGCTCGACTCAGTTAACAAAAGAACGAGCTTTATTCAAATTCGTATAAGCTTTTGTTTCGAACATTCATACCGACCAATTTCCTGAGATATATTGTCAAACAAACAACGTTACTCACAAAAAGTTGAAAAAACACTACTATGGATCGATACATGTTCTAAGCACCCAGAAGAAAGAAAATCCTTTATTACACATTTAATAAGTTTAATTTCATCATTTACAAATCCAAATGTTCTTATGTTACTAATTATAAGTTGATAACTAATAAGTAAAAATTAAACTGCTCTCACAGTTTCTTGGAAAACACAGGCATAGATAGAACTTTAACAAAAGCAGTTAAAACTTAAAACACAAAAAAAAAAAAAAAAAAAACAAATCAATTTGATTTGTTAAGGATAAAAGAAAATTGATTTTAATGTTTATGCAGTTTGACTAGGATTAATGCACACAAAATGCAACTAAAAATTTACTGCTTCAATACTAAACACAACAAATTCGTCAAGAAGAAAATTTAGGTCATTGTTATTACATTATAGTAATGATGATTTGTTTTATTTTCTCCTTTTTTTTTTCGATGGTGTTGATTTAGTGGTTGATAGAGAAAGCCCATCATCGCTCATCCCTCAAAGATTAGATTCTTGAAATACACGATTTTCCTATTCTTTTTTTTTTCGTAATTTTCATTTTGTACTTTCTTTGGGTATTGTTTTTTTTTTCTTTTTAGGGTCGGGCTTGGAATTAAAAGGTAGTGTGCATTTAGGGTTTCTCATTTTCTGTCCTCTTTATGAATACATATTCTTGTTTTTGTTGCGAAGTTGCGATCTTTGTTGATTTCTTCATCTGGGTTATTGGAGTTGCTCAATCTCTTCATCTGGGTCGGTACGTTTTTGTCCTTTTATTGTCTGTGTGTTGTTATTTTCTGCCATTTTTATGTCATCTGTTACGAAGCTTTTCGTGCTAAGGCTTTCAGTGGCTTCACACACTTCTGATTAGTGATTTTGTGCATTTATGTATCCATTCTGTTTGATTTTAGGATTGTAATGTAAAGTTACTTTTCTGCAGATCGGGCAATTACATCTGAATGAATTCTAGTCATTTTTATATATTTTTTTGTTCTGGAGAAGAAGGTTTGAACTTGTGTTAGAATTGGAGTGAAGAAGAAACCTATATGGTAGAGAAGTGGAATTGTTAAGATTTTTTCCCCTCACTCGATTTGGTTTCGTAAGTAAGAGCGGGTGAATTCGGAAATGTTCCATACTCAAGGAGCTTTCAAGAACACTTGCCATCTCCTTGCTGTTTTAAGTTCGAGAAGTGCCGAGAATAAGCCGAATCAGAATGTTTCGGAGGAGAAGAGAAAGTTTCCTTTTCCAGAAATTGTGTCTTCGGGGCGTCTAGAGGTGCAGATTATAACTTGTTGTAATAAATTTTTCGTTTAATTTGTCTATGTGTTTTTACATTGTTTTCATATTTTACTGTTTAGGTCCAAACACTGAAAAATCCGAGTATAGATGAATTCAGGAAAGTTCTAGATCTGTGGCAGCCAAATCTTGTGTACTTCCAGGGGAAGCATTTGCCAAGTGATGAAGTTGGGCCAGTCGTCTGGGAAGGGCTCGATTTGTCATCTCCCCAAGCTCTATCGGGTCTTTTTAGCTCCACATTGCCAACTACTGTATGTATTTTTTTTCTTTTAATGTTTTTTGTTACTCTTACTGCTTTATGCCTGCCTATGTTGTTTGTCTTTCAAAGTTGAATGTCTTTCTGTATTTATAATTTTGTGTTAGAGGACAGTATTAATTTCAATCAATATTACATAACCTAGTCCTAGGGAATACTCTTAACTACAAAAGTGAAAAAAAAAGGCATATATCAAAATGCAAAATGCCCCAAACACTTATTTTTTATCGCACGAATGTACAACCTCGAGGGAGGAGGGATATTTCTATGATCATTGCAAACCTTAAGGTGATTTTTGTAGTTTTGAATGATAATTTCCTTTTCCTTTTTTTTTTTTGTTTGTTTCTTGTAGTTAGACTATACTCCTGGGGTAATTTTGGAAATATTCCAATGTTGTAGCTGCTCACGAAATAGTTCTAATCCATTTTCACTTTTATATTGATGATCCTTTTCTTTTCTTTCCTTTTCTCTTTCCATCCAAACTCCCTTGTCAATTTCTTATGTTTTATCTAATTGGATTGGCCCTCTTGAATCTTGATGAAGGTTTATTTGGAAGTACCGAATGGTGAAAGGTTTGCCAAGTCTCTTCAATCCAAGGTATGCAGTGTAGAGAACAATTATAAGTGATTATAAAAGACACCAGTGACTTTAACTTTTTACTTAGGGATAAAACGACACGGCATCTGATGTTTGATTTATTTATTAAAAACTACAGCGGCTTTCAAAAATTATATTAAAAAAAAGAAAAAGCTCTCGAGATTTGAATCTATCTTAAATTGAGGGGGATTAACACTATCATTTTTTCCCAAAATAAGGTAGGTTCTCGAAATGTTTGTTGCTTATGGGAAGGGAATCAGGGATAAAGTATTAACACATAATAATCACATCGAGTGTTTGTTTTTGTAGTTTTCACATATCTACGTTCACTTTGTAATAAGACCACACTTCAGGGAGTCATTATGTGACTATGCTTAAATTTAGGAGTTAATTTGATTTTTTTGAGGCTATCACTTTCATCTCTGCAGGGCATTCCTTATGTAATGTATTGGAAGAATTCATTTTCATGTTATGAGGCCAGCCATTTTCGTCACGCACTGTTTTCTGTAATACAAAGGTAATCATATGTCTTGTAATTTTTTAGGACTGTTGCTTATATTTTTTTCGCCCTCCAAAAACGAAAAAAAAAAAAATCTCACTTATATCAAGTCACAGCAGTAGACTGGTTGGTATTATGTTACGCAAAATATTTTACAAGTTTGCATAATCATTCGCAGCTCATCTTGCCATACTTGGGACGCTTTTCAACTTGCGGAGGCTTCTTTTAGGCTTCACTGTGTTCGAAATAATATTGATGATGACCAAAAGGTAAATGACGACTTTGGCCCTACTATACTTGGGGAGTCCCCAACGATCACTGTTGATGTTCCTGAGATGGAGGAGCCTGTGGATGATGAAGAAAGCTCGTCTGGTTCACTTCCTGCAATAAAGATATATGATGACGATGTGAATCTGAGGTTTCTTGTTTGTGGAGTGGCAAGTTCTTTGGTAATAACATTGGCTCCATTTTCAACTTATTTCTTTGAGTATATGCTATAAAATCTCAACGATGTTCGAAATTACAAGGAAAAGGGGAATGATAAATTAAAACCACATTTGAATATATTGATGTTTACCAGTTATTGCATCGATTAGTTTAGACATTTGCATGTCTTAAATTATCTATAATATTTAATTACTGTCATTTTGCATAAATATATTTAATAAAGCACAAATACAACATCTAAAAAATCCATAAATGAAACGCTAGTCCAATCACGATCTAACCAACGAATCATTGAGGTTTCTCTTGTCTTAACAAATAAATTGGAAAGCAGAAATAAACTTCATTAGAGCAACTGACCCCTGAAAATTTGGACATTCAACTAATGAAAGTTAAAATATTATTTCAGGATGCTGGCTTGTTGAGCTCTTTGGAAGATGGTCTAAATGCCCTTCTAAGTGTTGAAGTAAGTCTCACGCATAGGCGTGATGAAACAAAACTAATTTTCTTCATTTGCAGTTTGTGCACAATATTCAGTTTTGTTAAGTCTCAGTTTGACCTGTTGATTATTTATTTTTATGTTGTTCTAATTCAGATGCGAGGGAGCAAACTTCATAACCGGGTGAGGTATGTATGTCATGCAGATCTATATGTAACACTCATTAGTCTCTGCTGATATTTCCACTTGTCTTGACTGATGTTCATATGTTGTCGATCAGAGAGAATTTCAGAGATAAGTTCAGTCAAATTATGAAAGGCCCCCATTTTATCTTTCAAAACCACAAAGTGTTCAAATATCCTCTTGGCCTATACATACCACACGGTTGAGCACGCAATTAATATAGAAAACTGTTGACGAGAGTTATTTGTAGTTTTAAAGAAATTCTAATTATACAGAACTTCAGAGTAGTTTCTTTGATCCCCGTAAATGATGTTTATGCATCTTCTAGGAGTAAGTGCATATGCTTGAATACAAAAATTTTCCAAATAAATTCAATATTTCTTAACCAATCAATTTTCTTAACTCAAAAATCTTACACAATTTTAACTCAACCCCACTATCTTCAATATTATCAAATATAATTAAATAATACCCATTACTTCACAACATCTCTCTCCTACTTTTACATCAAATCAAATTTAACTATTTTAAAATAAAATATTATTTTAATATAAATTCAAAATTTCACTAACAACTAACCATACCACTTTTTTTCAAAATTAACTATACCAACAACAACAACAACAACAACATACCCAGTATATTCCCAACTGTTGAGGTTTGGGGGTCAGTTGTACGCAGACCTTACCTTGTAATTATACAAGGAGGCTGTTTCCGTAGCGACCCAAGGTGCAATGCGTCGTATGATATATTTTTTTTCTAGAAACTTCACTAATAGAAGAAGCACTAGAATTTAATTGAGTCATTTTGATCTAATCCATTATTAGCACTATGCTAGGAGAATTGTCAACAACGACTCTTCTAGTTCCATTTGCAATGGACAAACAAAATTAACAATATCAAACCAGAAAAATCCAAACAAAATTAAAACATCTTATATCCAAGCATCCACCTTTTGACCCTAATTTTCAGTTAATGTTTTTGTTTTAAAATTCTGTTTATTTGTTCAGCGCTCTTCCTCCACCCCTTCAAGCTGCCACATTTTCCCGTGGGGTTGTAACCATGCGGTGTGATTTGTCAACCAGTAGCTCGGCTCACATTTCCCTTTTAGTTTCGGGTAGTGCTCAGACGTGTTTCGATGATCAGGTAATGCATTTTATTACTTTCTTTTAAGTTATTTATTTAGGCTCGTGTTTTTCCTTCTCTTTTTTATTGCTTATTCGTTTATTTGTTAGTTTTTTTCATTTGGGGCTCAACTTACCTTTGTAGCTATTGGAAAATCATATAAAAAGCGAAATAATCGACAAAACACAGCTGGTTCATGCACCGATAAACTCTGAAGAGTATAAACAGCCCGTCTCTGAACCACGAAGATCAATCTCAGTAGCTTGTGGAGCAGCAGTTTTCGAAGTCAGTATGAAGGTTCCGGCTTGGGCTTCACAAGTAATAATAATTCCCATTCCTCTTACTTAATTCATTAAATATATACGACTTAAGATCTTTCTTAGGATCAATTTTGTAACTTTTGAGCACGCGATTTTTCTTTGTTTCGTAATCATGTACCTCAGGAGTCAGGATTAGTTTACACAATTTCTCTTTATTTATTATTATTTTTTTATATATATATTGGTTCCTCTTCAGGTCCTGAGGCAACTAGCACCCGATGCATCGTACCGTAATTTAGTCGCACTTGGTATATCCAGTGTACAGGGCTTAGCCGTAGCCTCGTTCGAGAAACAAGACGCTGATCGGCTCCTCTATTTTTACGCAAAACAGCTGAAAAATAGCAATTCGAACAACCTAATAGTCATTGCCCCTCCATCTTGGCTTAAACCACCTCCTCCAAGTCGAAAAAGACCCTCAATTTCCCAAGAAAACATTCAAACCGGCATCAAACAAGAAAACAATAACGAGACTAAGGAAATCGGGTCGAATGGGCTTAGTGGGTCCTTGCAAAAGTTTAAAATAGCTGCCCTAAGGCCCATTCCACACGTTCGCCACCAAAAGATGCTTCCTTTTTCAAGACTTGCGGATATGGATTTGAACGATGGTATTCAGATGAAGTCCAACTTGCCTAATGTTCAGATAAAACACAGTAGTGTTGGTGGCAATCCTGTGTCCAATCGAAAATCAGCTTCGGCTTCATATCAGGCGAAGCAGGTCATATCATTGAATCCACTTCCTTTAAAGAAGCACGGTTGTGAAAGGAGCTCGTTGCATGTTTGCTCTGAGGTATAAAATTTGTCCCCTTTTTTGTCTTGCTTTTGATCTAATATTGTATTCTGTTGATTAATTAAGAGTCAACTGCAAAAATGCCATTATATCTAATTACGAAAAGCTCCAGTCATTTTTTGTTATTATGATGGTATTCTTTTCAATTTTACATTAGTTGCATAAGGTGTTCATATTACCTGTAGAGGGTAGTCTAGTAATTGTAAAATGGTGGAGTCAAACCTCAACGGTATTTTTGTAATTATCACTTTAGTTATTTTATATGTGAGCTATGAAAATCTCGTGTTGGCTAATCTGAACTATTTAGGGTGTGATTGGATATGAATTTGATTGGTTTTTTCTTAAGCATAGTTAATTCTGAAAAATGTGATATGGTTAGTTGTTAGTGAGAATTTAAATTTAAAGTAAAAAAAATTTTAAAATAAAATAATTAAAGTTGATTTAATATAGAAGTAGGAAAAAAATGATTGGTAGTGATGGTTAGTTAAAATTCTGTGAGTGGATGAATAGTGAATTAAAGTTGATGTGATGTGTAAGAATGATTGGTTGATATTATTTAATTATATAGATAATATTGAATATAGTGAGATTGGGTTGAATTTGAGTTTTGATTGGCTTTTTACTGGTTAAGCTTATAACCAATCATACCTTTTAGTGCTTGCTTTTTACCAAAAAAAAAAACTCAACTCAAAATCTAACTCAATTTTAATTCAAATATAATTAAATAATATCAATCAATCATCTTTGCACATCACATTAATTTTAATTCACTATTCATCCACTCACACATAAATTTAACTACCTATCATATCGAATCATATCTCCTACTTCTACATCAAATATTTTTAATCCTTTTATTTTACATATTATTTTAATATATATAAACTTAAAATCACACCCATAGCAACTTCTTTTAAAAATAACTTCAGTTAACAAAAAAAAAAGGAAAAAAAATCAAATATTCCAATTATAGGCCAAGCCCTTAACATTTTAGTTTGATTATAAGCCATACCCTTAAAATATCTCGAACATTTTAGTGTTCATTAGTTAGACTGGCATGTTTCCAAAATGCAACTTCTCTTGTTAAACCAACTTTTTTATTTATTTCTGTCCATGCATATGTGTAGGAAGAATTTCTGAAGGATGTAATGCAATTTCTAATCCTCCGAGGGCATAATCGTCTCATTCCCCAAGGTGGGCTTGCCGAGTTCCCAGATGCTATACTCAACGCAAAGCGTCTTGATCTCTTTAATTTGTACCGTGAGGTGAGAAATTGCCTGTATTAATTCTTCGTTCGAGAATGTGAAAAAATCAGTCGTTGGTGTACTTATTCTGAATCTATTGGTGTACTTTGAATCTCTAATAAGGTGGTCACGAGAGGAGGTTTTCATGTCGGCAATGGCATCAATTGGAAAGGGCAGGTTTTTTCAAAGATGCGCAATCACACAGTGACTAATAGAATGACCGTATGCCCGAAAACTCAACTCATGAATTATATTATGTTAAATTGACTTTTTTTTCCCGTTTCTAAGGCTTTGGCTTGTTTCATGCAAGGGTGGATTAAAGTGATAGTTACGAAAACTCGCTCAGATTTATTCTTATTACAACAATATCCAAAGATTTTTTAAAATTACATCCCATACCCCCTAGTTTTGATTTAATCTTAAATTTAAGGGACAAATGTTTGAGTTTTTTATAACATGGCAATAAAAGGCTGCAAACGAACCGAGCATCTCGAGCATAGGTTTTGGAACAATCGAGCAGCTCGAGAGATATGTAGTGAATTACTAAAAACCCCTTCCATATAAATATTACAATATTTTAATATGTAGTTAATGGTAATTTTACTTGAAATTTGAGTCGAACTCGTGCCGAGCTCGAGCAATCTTTCGAGCATTTTGATTTCAATTGATTTCGAGTCGAGCTCAAGCCAGTCTTCTTTTTTTGAGTCAATCTCGAGCGTTATAAATCAAGCTCGAGCTGAAAAAAGTCAATCTTGCTCAATAAGACCAATGCTCGATTCATTTGCAGTCCTATGTGATGGCATAGACTACAATCAAACATCATGAGAGCTTTTTCCATGTTTGAAAGTTCTTTCGGTTCTTTTATTATCAACGCCAACCTCGGGAGACCCTTGTCGTAATATTCCCTTAAAAAAACTTACACATCCATTTCTCAAACTAGTAGTCACTTTTACATTTTTTCTGTTCTTTTCGTTTCGATTCTTTTTTATTTATTTTATTTTATTTTTATTTTTTTCTTTTACCTAAAATGTATGGATATCTTTGTTCATATAATATTTGAACCAGGGAGTTGGAAATACCCTCAAAAGGCACTACGAAACTTACCTTTTGGAATACGAATTAGCTCATGATGATGTCGATGGGGAATGCTGTTTATTGTGTCACAGGTTAAACTTATAAATTACTGCACCTTTCTTATGTTGGGTTCATATCAATTACAAAAAGATCAGATATTTTGTTTGTTGCAGCTTTGGGAGCAAGATTGGATCTTTTTGCAATTATATTGGACGTCAAGGGTCTGATATCAACATTATAAATTGATTCTAATTCTTTTTTTTTTTTAACATTTACCAGTAGCGCGCCCGGTGATTGGGTCAACTGTGGCTTGTGTGGGGAGTGGGCCCATTTCGGTTGCGATCGAAGACCTGGTTTGGGTGCCTTCAAAGTAATATTTCATAACTTTTAGCCCTTCATTGTGAAATATATTCTTCTTCTTTATTGGTTCGTGAGTTAATAATGTTTTTCGTGGAATTTGTTTTTAGGATTATGCCAAGACGGACGGGCTGGAATACATATGCCCTCAGTGCAGTGTTTCGAACTATAAGAAAAGGATGAACAAATCAGGAAATGGTTATTCTTGATAACTATTTTGGTATTATAAAGATTAGAACTGAATGCAGTTGAGCTAAAGTCCTGCGAAATGTGGGGCTGAAATGAAATATTCATATAAGCGTGGGCTTTGTAAACGTAATTGGGAAAAAGATCTAGGAAGTAGGGTAAAAATGCTCCGAAAAGAAGCAAAACGAGGGGGCTAGTTCGATATTGTAGCCTACTTAGGTACTTGATGTGTAATTATATGTTTTTTTGTGAGCTTACATACAAATTGTAGTTCTGGTTTTTTGAAAAAATGTATGTTGTCAATTTGTCATGTGTAATTGAATTGCGTAGATTTTTTTTTTTTTTCTTACATTGTTTCACTTTTCTTTTTCTTGGTGTGTTGATAAACAAATAGAGTTG